TATGTTCGAACATGGTGTTTGTTATGGCCAATCCATGACTAGCACAGAAGTCCAGTAACAAACCACCACTCCGGTTCAGATCAGGGGGGGCCGTTCCTCCCAATCACGCCCCTCCCAGTGTCTCCATCATTGCCCACATGTGCGTTGAAGTCTCCCAGCAAGATTAAAGAGTCCCCTTCAGGAGCCCCATACAGGACTCTTTGCAGGGTCTCCAAGAAGGCTGTATACTCTGAACTGCTGTTGGGTGCATAAGCACACACAACAGTCAGAGGTTTCCCCCCCATAGCCCGCAGGCGTAGGGAGGCGACCCTCTCGTCCACTGGGGTAAACTCCAACAACGAAGCACCCAACCGGGGACTTGTGAGTATCCCCACACCCGCCCGGCGCCTCACACCTTGAGCAACTCCGGAGAAGAATAGAGTCCAACCCCTATCCAGAAGTAAGGTTCCAGAGCCGACGCTGTGCGTAGAGGTGAGCCCAACCAGATCCAACTGGTAACGCTCCACCTCCCGCACAAGCTCCGGCTCCTTCCCACCCAGAGAGGTGACATTCCACGTCCCCAAAGCCAGCTTCTGTCGCCCGGGTCTGGTCCGTCGAGACCCTCCGCTTTCACTGCCACCCTTCTGGCAGCGCACCCGACCCCATCGCTGTTTCCCGTAGGTGGTGGGCCCGCGGGACGGAGAAGCGGAGGTGTTGCCCACGTTGCCTTTTCGGCTGGGCCCGGCCGGGCTCCGTGGCAAGCCCGGCCACCAGACGCTCACCGACGAGTCCTCCTTCTGGGCCTGGCTCCAGAAGGGGACCCCGGGCTTCCTCCGGGCCGGGTATCCTCACTTCTTGTTTTTTCTTTCATGAGGTCTTTTGAAAAGTATTGGTGATGATTAAATTAAGGAAGGGAAGGGAAAACACATTTACTCAATCACGATATGTTGGATTTGTTGTGGGGGTAAATATCTCTTAATGAAAAATATGATAAATAAAATGAGTTTGATTAAAAGGTTTAGTTAGCAAGAGATAAACAATGGACAAACATGATTTCTCAAAAACAAAGTTCAAATAAGCTGATCATGACATAAACCTATACTGTATGTCATCCAGGAGAGTCCTGTGATTCGACGTAACACTGTGACTATAGTTTGTTGAAAAAATGAAATGGGAATACAGAATAGTGAAAATATAACTACTTCTCAACTCAAGTTAAACATAAAAAAACTTTTAGATCATATCTTTGACTTTTTCCTAGAAATGAGCCTCTGAATCATTTTCCTCAACGTTGATTGAAAACCTTAGTGTGTTTTGTATTTCTCATTATTTGGAACAGTGGAAATTAAACTGAGTTATCTATCGATTCCATGGAAATCAGTGTCAAACAGATAGTTATCATTTATATTCATGCGAAAGCACCTTTTTAGTCTGGTGTTAGATCATCATGGAAAAGCAAAAAGTTTAACTAGATAATGGGTTCAAGATAATGGGATAATGGGTGACTCACCCTTTCCTCGCAATATTCCTCAAGGAAGGCAGCCAAATGCTGTTAACAACCTGGGATTTTTTTACTGTGAGCTCATACCAGTTTCAGTTATACTTCAGGCAGAGTTCATCACCAAGTTTCCACCAAGATTATAATAAGGTTGCAACTCTTTCCCAAGAAATTACCCATTATTGGTACAAGGAAGAAATTACCCATTATTGGTACAAGGAAGCTATGTTACATACAAAACCAAGAGTGGGTCGACTGGTAGAAATCGGCAACAAAATTGTAATAAAATATTACGTCTCACCTTAAACTCAAGACATAAATACTGTCGATTTTGCTCAAGATATTTGAGGTACCCAAAGGATGAATCTCATCTTGACTTTGGAAAATCAATAGTTCCAGTTTCCCTAAACTGTACTTCAAGAGTTATTAAGTTAGCATTTTATCAACTTACAATAGTTATGTTAACATGCTCAGATTTAAGAAGTAAATACAGTATTTGTAAACTGTTAACTTGATAAAATAATTGTTAACATGTTTGCTTAAAGGTTTTTGTTTGATTTTTTACAGCTCCAAGGTGGCAAGTCATGAGTTAACCTGAGCTTTCCAAATTATTGATATAATAATTCTTAAAATAATTTTGCATTTGTTGTTGTTGTTATTCCCCACCATTACACTGGGAGACAAAAAAACACCCCTACCTCCATTATCTTTTTCACGCATACAATTGACTGCAACATCATGAATACTTTCAGAGACAGACTGTCTGGAACTGCTTCCCTATGTAATGTTAATTTGTCTTAACCCTATATGATAGGGTTAAGACAAATTCGTGGCCTGGATTTCAAGTGAGGCCTTTTGGGATGGTTTTGTTAGAAGTGGATGGACAAAGTTAGTGGGAATGTACAAACTAGCTTGTTGAAACAACCTTAGACTCTAGTTTGGTCCTACATTTAGGATTGAATAGCTCCCAATGTGCCCGTTGTTTAGAAGTTTAGATTACTACTGTAGATCTCACTTCTCCAGTTTTGTGTCACATTGCTCAACGGGACGGGAAATACCAGATGCCTAGCCAAAAGCAACATTATATGTAGAAAGACAAACAGCCCATTCATTTTTCCAGACTCCATCAAACGGTGGGGCTCACAGTTCCTGAATGAGCTGTTTCCTAACAAAAGACCACATAGTTTCACATTGAAAAAAACAATTACTTTATTTCAGTCTGGGCTCACCATAATAATATATGTAATCGAGCACAGTTCTGCTTTAATGTGTTATATATATATATCCAATGTAGGATTCTTGGGTTTTCCTTAAAGCTTAAACTTCATGTTTCTTTTAATGATATATATCACATCTATATAAAAGAAGAGACCTAAATGCCATTTTCACAATGTCATTCCCTCCATGTGTGGTGGGATGAACTTTGGCTCTCCCCAAGAAGTCCCTCGCTTGTATTTATCCAGAGTCAGCAGGGTGAGAGCAGCGGTGCTAAAGTCACACCTCAGGCCACTAAAACGGAGTCTGGATATGAGGCCCCCAACATCAGGGGTCCAACAGAGAATCTGACGTGCCAAAGTTCTCACACGGACGACCATAAAGGAATCTTAATTGGACACTGGCTCTTCTTTGAAGGCAAGATCAGTCAAAGTCCGATAAACCGTTTTAACTTATCAATTTAAGAAGAAGAAGACACACTTTATTTTTCCTCACGGGGAAATGTATTTCTCAACTCTGTTGTGTTTACACACGTTACACATAGTAGATCCCTGTTTTGATTAAATCCTCAAGTTCAACATGAGTATACTAATCAATATGAAGATTGTATTTAGATTGTGTACTTCAAGGTTGCAAATATGCATACACAGTATGGAAATTGGGCGTAATTTCGCTTTGTGATGCAAGTTGGATAAGGTTATGATTTCCCTGGAACTCTGATGTCTGTTAAAAGGAACGCAGAAAAATACGTGCCGTGATAATTATTTGCCGAATAAACATGCAACGCCTTGGGCATCACGGACGCATATCAAAGTTACATTTCTACTCACATTTGATCTGATGTTTTTTATATTTATTTGATCAATCAATAGTTTTATTTTTATTATCCATACGGCACATAAGTTAAAACAATACATCCATTCAAGTAATGTATACAACATTCTTGGAAATAAGTCCAACTTATGTACACTGGTAATGTAACAGGTTTAATGATAACATTAAACCTTTACTGTGCCACATTTAATTAATTTCATTTTCCAATTTGTTCTGGTCTTTGTGCTCTATGAATAATTAGCTGCCCGGCATGTTCTTCAGCTTCTGTAAGTTGCTTTACATTAACTTGAACATTCCCTTTCAGTGGTTTTGTCGGGATCTCTAACCTTGTTCTAAGCTGACACAATATTGATGGATACTGTAATTGAAATATCTCACTAATGTTGCTTCCTTTTGAATAATGTTCAACAGTAGATGCTACTTTACTGCACGGCTTTTGTGCTGCTAAGCACACATCTTGATTTTGGCTTTACTGGAGCATTAAGGCCTTTAATAGTGTTCTGCTTTTAACACACTAACATGGGCTTTCCAGACCTGAAAAGTTTCCATTTCAGACCCTATTTTATCTAAAGGATAAAACTGCACGTTCAAAAAGTTTACGGCCTCTCACGGTATGTGTAGTGTTCCAGTTGGCAGTTTAGAGGAGGGAGGCCTCTCCACGGCCTGATAAAGGCTATGCGGTGACACCAGGGGAAAGAGAACAGACTTCAGTGGCAGGAATGCTTGAAAGAACCGTCCGCACACCCAGATCAGCAACTCTTCCAGTGAGCACATTTATGACGGGTTGTAAACTCAGGTGGTTCACAGCCACAGTCCACGCACACTTAGGAATCCTCAAAAGCATTTATTTGGTTTTAATATAAGTTTAAACATCCCTTTTTTTTTTCAAGTTTTATAGTCTCATGAAACAAATTAATACAATAATCCAGAGTAGGCTATCACCTAAACTCACAAGAATGTTTCATAATTCCCATAATGGAGAGGAAAAATATGTAAAACGTTGTTTTTGTGATCAAACACCACGAGTAAAGCGTTTTTTTCCCCATTCAAAGCTGTAGGTGTTTTGGATTGTGTCAATTTGGCTTGTGTTTCTACGTGTTTTGGGCGACTGGGAGTTGATAGGTTTGAGTGTATGCAGAGACAGCCACAGGTCTGAATGCCATGCGACTGAGGTCAAGAAGGGTAAAGTGAGAGTGTTCAGCTGTCTACTTAGATCAATGTGAAAGAGGAGAATGTTGTGACGGTACCAAACCACAGTATATAGTGAACCTAGCAACAAACAGTCCTAGCAACACTACATTAAGTGTGTTTGTTTGTATATTATATATTATTTGGTAATTTAGCAGCTTCTCAAATCCTGAACGACATTCAGCGAGACATTTTTGCAGATGCAGGGATACAATCTGCAGCAAGAAAGGTTTAACCTTTTTTCCCACCCAGTGTGTACATGTGTTCAAACTTGTCAAGCCAGTCATCACATCAGAAAACGTCTTTATTTCATTTTTTTTACAGTGTATTGCTCCATTTCGCAACAGTGCAAAATGCAATATTTTAAAGTTCCTCATAAATTACAAACATACCATAAATAAACAAGTATCACCACATTGAACACAAAAAAGCTACAGTCACATTGGAATTGCACAAACGGATTTAAGATGAGCAACTTTTGTATTTACAGTTCAATCAGCAGAATGGAGGCAAAAGTCTTATATGGTTTTCTCTGCCTTTCTACTCAAAGTCTTGCCCTGATCCACAGCGACTTTTACAGAATATCAGAATGTTTGTAAGACCATCTATTCTAATGTGTCCACTCAAACAAATAAAAAGTAAGGTAGTTATAGATTAACGGAACCGGATCAACAAAATCCTTTAAAAAAAAGGCAACTTCTCAGAAGTTTGGAATAGTATCACTGCGCTACACACGAACTGAACTGAACTCAGGCATTAACTGAGTCTAGACGACTCAAAGTAATCAATTTATTTTAGACAATGCAAGTTCAGTGCGACATTCCCAAGTCACCCACCACATTTTCTATAGCCAGTATATTTGTTGTTAATTGTACTGTTGTTTCTAAATAGAGTTGGATCAATTTCAACAATGAGGTAATATAACAAGACACCACTCTTGATTATGTATGGAATGAAATATGACAGCACCAAGTGTCAACAGCATTACTCATTAGTGTCAAGTGTTGGTATACAGTAGGTAAACTAGTAACTGCTTCAATGTCAAGTTGAACTGTCATGGGTCCAAGGATTAAATCCACCTTCATGTCCACTTTCAAAATAAATAAATAAATAAGTAGGAATAAAGACAATGTAAAGTAATTTCATTAACTAGTCTGTAGTTCCACAAGCATCTAAATTATTTTTGCACAAATGTAGCAGACATAAGGTACAGTTTCATGTGCGATCATGCTTGTGGCAGCGAAGAAACATGAAGAAATGTAAATCAAATGCTTCATTTCAAATTGCAACAATCATTCCCCTTAATAAGGAGAAACTCCAACCTCACTCATACTTGGACATTCTCTTTGTCTTCTCTGTTAAAGATATGCACTTCACACACCTAAATAAATATATTAAAACACTCTTAAATAGGCATAGGTCTTATCTGTTTCCTTCTTCAAGCATCTTTAAATCAGAATATATTAGAATGTATACATTTTATAAATACACATATTTCTATATAATTATTCTCTGTTTATAAAAAAAAAAGGGTTTAAACTCATAGTTCTGAGGGCCTAACTTCTCTGTTGTCTGTGAGCATGCTTTCTTGCAGTGTAGGAGGGGTTTATCACATTGCCTGTTTCTGCCACCTAGTGTGGCATAGGAGCACTACAACATTTTATTCTCCTGTTGGGAGTTGATGCCGATATGTAAACATGCATGGTATACCGAGTCAACAGCTACATTCCAAAAGTAAAATCATTCACTTTCTCTTTTTTGTACATTATTGCAAAAATCCTGTTCAAAAGAAAAATATTGCAAAGGACAACAAACCAAAAAACATTTACATCACACACAATTAGGTGCCCGCCACGTTTCACAATGAGTGTGTCAAACACTAGAGTGGTGGGAAATAAAGTGGAGCTTGAGGAAAGATCGGTCAATGTAACACATCCAGGAACATCTTAAAGAGAGCAGGAACTGGTATCTGTACGGTGGAGCTGTACACTGGAGTTTCTGGCATCCAGACTAAATACAGTGCAGTTCAGAATTAATGGCAAACTTGGTAAAGAGCAGTAAAATTGGTTTGACGATGATATTAAAATCTTGGTGAATCTTACATTTTTATGAAAAATTAATAGTTATGTGTAGAACTTAGAAGAAGTAATGTTATTTGAGAATACTGGGCACATAAACACGTTTTTTTTTTTTCAATTAAAGTTTCATCATGTGCCACTAATTCTGGAGGAAACTGTACATTAACAAAGCCAGGAGCCTCCATCCATCCAGTTACCTGTCCACTTCTCACCTCCTCCCCATCTTAAACAGAGCAGTTGCGTCTCTTCCCAGAGCCAGTCTGGGCTGTAGCAGCAGAGGCTGAGGGCAGCCAAGCGGTGACCCCGTGTCAAAGGCTTGTTGAGGAAACCGAGAGGGTCGGTGAAGAGGGAGGGGGGAAGTTTAGCAGCTCCAGCACAGCCACGCCAACGCTGCTGCGCCGTGTGAACATGCAGGAGGCCGCAACCCATTTGTTGCTGCGTGGGTTGTACTTCTCGATGGAGTTGAGACTGGAGCTGCCATCGTTACCTCCCACCGCGTACAACCAGCCATCCATAGCCACCAGGTCATGGGTGCTCCTGATAATAGATAAAAGACTAATTCAGTACAATCAATTCCACATGTATTGTAGAGGCATATTTTTCTTACACCACATTAGTATTTCTTTCTTAAGCTTTTATCAGGAATAAATAATAAGCATGTATTCTGTTTAATCTAGTGAACTACTAAGGCAGCCCCTTTAAGGTTGATGCAGTCTGGGCTTTGCATCACATTCACATAATAGAGCCTACTTTACTGCATGAACATTATCACTAATTGCATAGAAAAAGTGAAAAATTACAAGACTATGTGATGTGCAGATAAGAATACAACAACGTTAAAAATACAAAGCTCTATTATTATGGCAGTAACTCATCATTATCACAAGGGAGGGTTCTTTCTGTGCCACACTGTTGGAGGACACCAGGAATAATACTTCAGTTAAAAATGTATTGTATCAGTGGACCAATGGGAAAGTGGGTCGTTTAAGAGACAAAACTCTTTTTCTGTACTTATTACAATTATTTTACACTATTTTCACATTGGCACATAGGTAAAATGGTTTAAAACAGTGATAGATTAATGGGCAATACAGCTTGATGTTTTGAACTGTGAAATGGAGCCTCCTGGCAACTGGATAAGAAAAGAACTGAACGCCACACAGCTGATTAACACATGGGTTATTCATGGAGCCGCATAGTCAACTGATGTCAGGTTTCCCTGTTCCTACAGCATACTGACGTGGGTCTCAGAGTGGGTGTGTGTGTGTGTGTGTGTGTGTGGTGTGGTGTGTGTGGTGTGGTTCTGTGTCTGTGTCTAAAGGCCTAGATAACAATTAAATCTGCTGATGTGTCCTCAAATCCAAGACTTCTACATCTCTAAATCTTCCTCCCTGATGCCGTTCCTCTCGTATCAATACAATGCTGTGAGTGGGTGCATGCTTACCTGCTTTAATCACACGCACAAGTTTTATTTTCTAAGAAATAATGAAGAGCTGACTGTTGGAAAATAGGTCATTTGATGTTTATGCCGTAAGAGGGTTTTAGAATTAAGGAAGACATCCAAATGCCCCAAATCCTACGCCATGAAGAGTAAAGATTTTTAACAGAACTAAATAACCGCAGCAGGGGAACCTTTTTTCTTATTAACTAAGATTTGTAAGAAAATGTTTTCAATTTTAATTGACTGAATTTATTAGAAAATTGTGCTTATTAACACATCAATACTCTGTTAAATATTTTTACATATGCATTTGAGAAGTACAATATAAAACAAACGTTTCAGGTGTCGGCTATATTCCATAATATCTTTAGAATTTGCTTCGGGACAATTAAAAGTGGACCACGGGCCACAGTTGGCCCCCGGGCCGTAGGCCGTAGTTTGGGCACCCCTGCTCTACACAGACCATTTTATTCTTTAGCCTTTGTAAAATAGATGTTATCTTTTATTCAGCTGAAGGCAAAACTGGAGTTATCACAGTCCCCCCTCCCTCATAAGGATGTCACATGGTTGTTAAGAAGCCTAAAAAGAGACGATAAAGCTGGGCAGGCCTAAACAAAAAATCTTGAGTGCATTTGAGGGCAATGCATTACAGCAGTTAGTAACTGTGATTTGAACCAGTGCCATTTCTGTTATATTTTTGATTTAATAAATAATACATCTTTCTTTTTAATCCCATAATGACTTGACGCTTTGGCAATGTTGTCTCTGCCAATTAATTATTTAATTTAATTAAATAGTAGAACCGGGTCATCCTGATGGCTAAGTTGGCAAAGATGTGTCTCACTAAATACATTCCCTGGATTCCTCCCAGGACCTGTTTCATATTTCATCGTCTCTCCAATGAAAGTGGCTCTCTCTTTTTCTTAAGTATTTCAACTTATTGAAAGGATCTCTATGTTTGTGATATTATAGTAAGGAGTACATTAGGCTGCAAGTTGCTTCATTACTTGCTCTGGTGGCTCTCATCTTTCACAACTTAAAAGGGGGTCTTCCCAGTCAGACATTTATCTCTGCAGAGCTTATTATGCAGTTTCACTCTTTCATGTTAAAAGTGAGTTGTGACAGCAACACATGTTGTATCTGCCACATCATTTATGGTTGTTGGAGCTGTGTTTTAAATACATCCATTTACATCTTGCCACTGTACCTGGGCTTGATTAATCTGTTTGTACTAATATGAGTTGTGGGTGCAGGCTGACCTGCGTATGTTCATGGGGGCCACTCCCTCCCAGGTGTTGGCCTTGGGGTTGAACCGCTCCACAGAGTTCAGGCAGCTGGTGCCGTCGTTGCCTCCTGCGACATACAGCATGCCGTCCAGCACGGCCACCCCGGCACTGCTGCGCCGACTCAGCATGTTGGCAATGGCTGTCCATGTGTTGCTCTGTTCATTATATCAAGAGACTGAGCATTAGTCACATGTTTATGGATACAACTGTTGAGCACTTTTCTTCTCTGCATTCAGTTAGTGCTGGCAACAAACAAGCTTTTTTGATGATACATCTAACAGCATGCAACATCACACCTGGGGGTCATATTTTTCCACTGTTGCGAGATGTGAGGAGCTGTCGTAACCTCCCACTGCAAACAAGCTGCTATCTGCAGGGGGAAGGGGAGTAAACATTCAAAATGTAAATATTAGCAGTTAAATAACAAAGTTGTAACTCCCTCTTGATTTCAGACATAGAAATGCAGACAGTGAAACATAAACATACAGTTCATCATATTATGTTTTCAAGAAGGTTCCTTCCTACCCAGAGTTGCTACTCGGACATATCTCCTACGGGTGCTCATGGCAGCAATGGATGTCCAGGTACTGGTCAGAGGGTCGTAACGCTCTGCACTAAAAGAGGAGAAAAATACTAAGTTTTATTTGATATAATGACACTGAAAGACCGCCCTATTTAGATAAAGGACTTTATGACCTGGCAAAACAGGATCAAGTCAAACCAAAAAGATGTAACAGGAATCAACAATGTAGCAAATCTAGCTTTAAAGTATCAAGATGCTCAGCATTCATTGCCAAAATGTTAGTTTGTGTGTACCTATTAAGGCAGGAAGCTCCATCATAACCTCCAGCAGCGTACAGCAGGCCATGCAGGACCGCTACACCCAAACAGCTCCGCCTTGTTCCCATGGAAACTTCAGGTTGCCAGGAGTTAGTGATGGGGTCGTAGGACTCTACAGTAGCGAGGTCTGAGGTGCCATCATACCTGAGGGGATGTGGATATAAATGCATTTTAAAAAGGCTTTTCGATGACTGACGTGGAAGCATTTTGCCTCAAAGAATACCTTATTTATTTTTCAACGCTGCAGCCACGAAAAAAAGGTTGTGATGTAATCGATCAGGATAGTTATACTTAAAATGGTTTGTTTTTGCCACTGTAAGATTTTAACTATAAGCTTCTGACAACTTTATGGAAAGGACAGTACTACAGAGACACAAAACTTTTTTCTTTACCTATTGCTTGATACAAAATGAGGTTTTAACCATTATATTTTGGTAACAAGTGAAATGGCACATTAACAAAGAGATGACCAAGCGAAAGGTAAAGAAAACTGTTTATTTCTCTGGAGGGTCCTTTCCCTTCCATCCTGGCGCAAATAATAACAATCTGAGCTTGTCAGTGAGAAAAACATATTGCATTGCAGCCTGTTTTGTGCCTCTGTCTGCAGCTTTCTTTCTCAATACTGGGCCAATTACAAAAATGTTTCCCTAATGGTCACTTTGTAACATAGGAAAATAAGGGCATGTTTGAAAAATACAGATTTCAATTTTTTAAATTATCTCTGAAAGAACACAAAAAAGGCCAATGAGAAAAGAGTCAAGTTAAAAATACTTTTAGTTTTTATGAAAGCCAAAAACAGAACAAGCACTTTGATCAGGAGCACAAAGAAAAAGCTGTTTTGCATAATCATTATTATTATTTTACGTGTATCATACACATGTTCAAATTTCCTCTTTGTAAAAGGCAGATTTAGTTCTTATCATACAATGTAATATTTGAGTTGGAGATGAGATGGTGGGTTAATTTGTTTTGGTTCAAAGGCCAACACCATAAATCTCACCACTTACCCTCCAACAGCGTAAAGTCTATTCCCAATGGCTGCCACTCCCACCCGTGCACGCCGAGTGGACATGGACGCCACCATGTGCCAGCGATCAGTCCTGGTGTCATACGCCTCGCAGTCTCCATGAATGGCAAACAGGCTGCCACCACCTGCAGACACAAAGAAAAACAACATGGTGAATAACAAAGCTTTGACGTCCAGCAGTAAAGTAAATATGAAAATCTAAAAAAGGAACAGATAACCGATAGTAAAGGAACATTTTACTACTTCTACTTTTTTATGCATGCTTCTACGTAACATTAAGCTGTCTTTGGCTCTTTTTCTGCTGTAACAACGTACATTTCCCCTCTGTGGGACTAATAAAGGTATTCTGATTCTGATTCATTTCAGAGAAAGGTTTTTCAAGATGCCGGGTTTTGAGATGATTTTGGCTGAAATTTGGGTTCACTGCTAAGCTCAGTGCCGGATACAAAAATAAAAAGATATGATCTCTTAATAAAAGTAATCAATATTAAGGGGCATTCATTGCTCATATCTTTTAGCCATAACCGTCATATAAGGTTTTTCACTTTACTGCAAGGCACCCACTTAGACCTTGAAAATATTTTAACTGTTATATTTTACATTTGTATCTCCCAGCTATAAAAATATGGATGCTTGCAGTGACGTCAGAAGCTAAAGTTAATTAAAGTGTGGTTAAAGTGTACCCTAGTGGGTACCTTCAGGGGCACACTGACCAACGGCGAAGAGCACAGGGCTAGCGCCCTCACAGCGTCGTGGGCGCGTCCGGCTGTTGCCGAGGACCCCTCTCTGCTCGGGCATCAGGTGGTACTTTAGAGCCTCGATCAGAAGGTCCTTGCACTCAGAGTGGTGACGCACCAACAGCTCTGTATCCACGTTGCTCATCAGAAAGTCGCGCCTCAGCAGTGGCAGCCGCACACACTTCATCAGCTAACAGAAGAGAGAGATTGTCTGGTTGAATTAGGCTAAGGAGGACATTTTGTAGAGGACTTATTTTAGACAGAGTTTAGTCAAGCTAAAATCATTAAGTCATGAAAATCATTAGATGTTCAGAAATAAGATAAGTAAGGAAGTCTTACCCAAGGTACATGCTGCCTACGTCCATCTACATCATGTTTCACCCAGCTCAACACAGCCCGGTACACTTCCTCTTCTGATGGCACATTGAGATTGTCACTGGAGATCAAATCCAGGACCTGGATGGACAAGACAAAGCAGATGGACAGAGACATATAATGTAATCATTCAAAAGAGCAACTTTTAACCTGAAAAGCATGGTCCCTTTAATTCAACTTTTAGCATCAAAAAAGCATGAGAGGGACAAAAACATGACAACAAGCAGGAAGTAAGTTAATCTGGCAAAAAAAACTGCATTATTTCCTGTGTGTTGTAAATGACTTTGTCAGCCTCGCTTCCTTAATTTGTTTTACTTTATTCAGACTGATATTTGAGAGGGATGGGAAGCGGTCTGTTTCTACTAATCAAATAGGATCATCACATTTAAAATAAAGCGGGCACACAATAATTTCCGGTACCAATTTTAACATTCACACGTAAATGCTTATGTGTCATATTTAGGTCAGTATGCGTGTAGTGGTGCTGTGATATATTTAGGAAATATAGCATTGAGTGTATACAGTATAAATTCCCACTACTTATGTGTGTGTGGCACAGCAAGTGCTGCAGTCTGAGTGGCTGGCTGGCACTGTTCCCAGATCAACCCAAAGCTGGCTGGGTGGGTGGGGCCAGAGCAGCCAGCTGCTGCAGCTGTCCTGCCTGTCCAGGGCAGATCAGGGCAACAGTTAGCAGCCTCCCAAGAACAGCCCGCACTAATCCCAAGTCACACAGAGAAATACTGCTGCTACTGCTGCTACTGCTGCTACTGCTGCTACTGCTGCTACTGCTGCTACTGCTGCTACTGCTGCTACTGCCCCGCCCTGCAGTCTCCTGCCTTACCTCTGCATATGTAAACACTGGATCACATATACGCAAACAAACATTTGTGTGTGTGTGCACGCGTGTGGAGGAGATTGGGATTACGAGTGTATCAACTGTTTTTGTAGTCTGGCATCAGGACTGTATGAATGAAAAAGCAGTTTGGGCTGAATAAAGATGTTTGTTATGTCTTTATACAGAACACACACAGTAATTAGGATGTGTTGTCTTTAAATTATCCTCCATGTGATGCTACATCAGTGAAACAAAACCAAAGCAGATAACCCTGCCATGCCTTGTCACTTCCTTCACCTAACACCAAAATAAATATGGGGGATATTTAACAGCTCCATTGGTTGTTTGGAGCAGCCAGTACATGAATCTAAATCTGACACAGAATTATGACGGACACAGAAGAGCCGGGGACAGTGAGCTAAAGGACATAGAGAGCAGAAGAACAGAAACAGACAAAATACATTTGTATCTGTTTTTGTGCAGCTTAACTTTGAGTGTTTAAATGGACACTGCACACTTGGATTGTATTCAGGGCTTTGAAGGCCAAATGCAGACAGAGTGTGATTTACTATCATAGAGTAAAAGCTCTTCAGTGCAGTGGGGATTGTTCCTCGGAGAGGCAACAAGATAATGGCAAAATGATAGTGGTGGGTGTTGGATACTTCCAGTCTGGAAAGGTATTTGTTTGAAACAAACACCATATCATATGAGAGACGATGCAGTTCTCTCCCTTATTGAGAGATTAACACAAACACACTCACACCTCACACCTGACTGCAGCAAAAGTATCACCTTCTGGTTTTTTAAATGCAGTCTCATATTGTGAGGCTAACGAAAAATATAAGAAGCAATACAGGATCAAATATTCACGCATGCACATACAGCCCAGCTACCAAAACAAAACACAGAGACTTCATTCGTGACTTTCATTCGTGACTTCATTCTCTACTCAGGATTACTCTACTATATCTTTACATAGCAAATAGTTGTGTGCTGCTATATTCATGCTCTGAATGACCCATATAAAACCTTTAAAGTAATATGAATCCCAACAAATGCATCATAGTAAGCTGAGCCAGGTCTGGTCAGGAAATATTGTTGTCTAGTGGCTTTTAAATTGAAAAAAATAATTCTACTTTCATACCCATGTTCCCCATGACGACTGTATATAACAAGGCTGCTCAATCTCATGGTTAGCAGTTGACAATAACAGTTACCAGAATGCAGATTTAACAACAACTGTTTCAGATGATGAATATAGCACCATTAAACCCTTTAAAAGCACCAGTGGGACACAGCAGGAGATGGAAAAAGCATCGACCTTACATCACTCTTACCTGTTTTAGCGGCAGCAGCATGAACTCCTCTGTCTTGGAAACCTCCACAAAGTGCTGCAGGACATACTTGTGTGCGGACTTGAGCAGGTCGCTGCAGGAGTGCGTGTCAGCGAAGCCTCGGATGCCCAGGCAGTTGGAGGGGTCCAGCTGGCTGAGGAGGAACTTACAGCAGGCGTCCCGCACCCCGTTGAGCTGCAGCAGGCTTGCTGCTGGGAGCAGCGTCTAGAGTGCAATTACAGGTGGAAACACACTGAGTATGTTTGCGCTTTGATAAATGAGGTCAAATTAAAAGTATTTTTCCACATTCTTGTCTATAGATCTAAAATCTTCTACCTTACCTGCACGTTTCCTTCCCCAACCACAATTTCTGCTGTGTAGGCATACTGGACCAGCTGCTCCAGAGCCTGACAGTCGATGTCATGGAGGGTCACATGGGTCTGCCGACTCTCCGACATCTCGTCTGCACGAACGCACAGAATGAGAGCTGTTACATGTGAGTAAAAAAACACTGTTTAATCATGCTGACACATGACAGTCCCTGATTTATACAGAATTTAGAAAAATATTTCACATTTAACAAATGTTGCCATTCTTGCTATTCATATACATACAATATATATACATATACAAGCACATATCTACAGAGAAACTGTGATTTAGCTGTCTTGATGATCGTGAAAGATGTGCAGATTCTGTTCAAATGGTCTAAGTGACTGGGTCCGACAAGAAGTATCCTAGCAGTTGAGTCTGAAAGCCAGACAAGTGTATATCTGGAGACCCATTGTACCCTCACACGACTCTAGTAATGAGAGGAAATGTAAAACTCACACACACCTCAACTGACCACCTGTGCCCCAGACAGGAAAAGGGGAAAGGAAGCCTTGATGCTATAAGGATGAGGTGACCTTCACTGCACACATTGTTGGGCTATCAAACTCTGAGCAACAGAGCCAAATGATGCAACGAGCTTAATGTGTCTGAGGCATGAAACATGCTGTGCTGGCATGGGTTTCAGGGATAAAAGCACAAAACTAAGCAGAGACAGACTGAACTTACTGGTAAACATAGCATGGAAGTAGGGGCTGCAGGATGCCAGCACCACTTTGTGCGCCTTGATTTCTTTGTTAGAGACATGCAGCACAATGTCACACAGCAGGCCACGTTGTCGCATCCGGTTCATGGACACGAAGGAGTCGTGGTAGTGGCGCTTAGAGTTGTGTGAGATGCTGTGGCCATCGCGGTTGAGCAGCTGCATCCCCCCCTCCATCATGGTGCTGGACGTTGCTGGCTCTTGCCTTGGCCGCAGCTGGAATTAACAGAAAAAATGTTTTGATGCCAGTTTATACCAATGTCATTAACTTATAAAAATGTATTTTGTCATCAGAAAATGTTAACCTGCAACGCTTACTTGATCTGCTGGGAGGTGTTATGACAGGGGTCCTGAGCAATCATTGTACCTATTGTTTCTGTGATAGTGACTGTCCTGACAGCTGTGGCAGGAAGCCAACTACCATGACAGAAATCTCAGTACAGTTACAAAGTGTAGTAGGTTGGCTGGCCTGAATATTTGACCCCGGGTGTCATTATTACTCATACTCTACTGGTTTGTATCAATGCATGCTTCTAATCTATTGGACAGTCGTGGTTTATTTAGTTGCAATGACTCCCGTTATCAAGTGTATTTCCACCAGAATTAGCTGTGAAACCCCCAAACCTCACCCCAGCTGCAGCCTTTGGTTAGGCAGGGTAGGAGGAGAGGAGGATGTAGCCTGAGTTAGCCCTTTCCCTTGTACTCTCATCCAACAGGCTCTCTGATGGAGAACGCACTTCAAAATGTTGCATAACCCTTGTCACGCGTTATCGTAGGAGTTGTAGTCTGATGAATATTATTTAGGATGCACTAATGCTAATACTAGATGGTACATCACAGGCCTAAACAGTAAACACACATCAGGAAAATAATATTGACTCCAACATACTGAATTGGATACATTACAGGTGTGAAGAAAAGGGCATATGAGCAGAAGCTAATGGGTTTGAAAGGTATAAGCCAGTTATTCCAAACTTCTTTCATGGAGAGCCTCCACATAATGTATGGTTAAAATATCCTTAAGTGCCCTCTGGTGATGCTTTTCATTTTAAATTCATTATTCATGTTTGTGTATATATAAGGAGGAAGTTATTTGACGATAACACAAGTCTATGAGAACACACAGGCAGCCACCACTGACTCGAAGAATATTGATCAGTTTGAGGCCAATTAATAAAACACTTAAGCTAAAAACACAACACACATATAATTGAGTCTTCTTAAGTTGAGTGCAGGTCTCTCTCTGGCTAAATACACAATTAATTTAGTATAAATGCTTCATAATTATGTTGTCATCTGTTCAGATGCACTCTTTCAACTACTCTGCACTGCCCACAGAGAATCATCTCATATTTCACCACAGCTGCCTGGCGGGTCCCATTTTCCAAAACACAATGGACCACAAAAACACTGAGGGAACAATCTGCTCTCATGCCTCAGGGAATAATAATGAGACAATGTGGCATACAGACATAAATAAACAGCAGGTTGAGGAAGAAGTAAAAATATAATAATTGTCACAATTAAAACTAACAGAGTGAAGCACTTGTCCTGTCCATCCCAGGCTTGTCTCTTAAAATCTCTCCTCGCTCTGGCTTATAAACCTTGCCTAGCATCCACACAAAGACTCTGGCTTCTTAACAGACATGCACACTCTTGATGGATACACAAATGTTGCATTGTAATCTTTTTTGGACATAATGGTGTTTCACCCCAACACCCACTCCATCTATTTTGAATAACAACAGCTATCAGCTGCTGCAGAATGAATGTGTCATTCCTTTACCGGTGGTTGTGTTGCGGTTATCCTTGGACGCAGTATCTTCCTCACAGTGATGGGAGATAAATCATCAACTGTCGCAGTCAGATTGGTTTAAAAGTGTTACCAGTGTCTGGCTTTCTGTCCATATTCTGACTCAGGCATACGAAATAAGAAGAAAGCCTCTGTTTCGTGCTGTATGCGGTTGACGTCAATGCAAAAAAACTGCATGAAAGCTGACATCGGTTTGTTAAGGTGGAGCTGAAACTGCCGGCGGTGAAAAAAGCTATGCTGAAATATGGTGCAGTGAGGCAGGTGTTGCACTTTAGAAATACACAGGAATCTGTTCTTAATCCAAATTTAAAACATTTGTAATGGGTGTTTGTTTATAATTTGACGTGACACATACTACCTTAAGCATCCCCTTTTGTCTGGTCAGAGTGCGGAAGTGCGTTCGATAAAAGAATCTAGGCGAGTGCGAAAGGCGGGGTTTTACTTAGAAGCTCTATGGTTGGTCAGAACCTGAACCACCCCCGCCTCTGTTACCCCGGTCAACAAATCAAACAAACAGCGTACAAGACACGAACCCAATTTTCCAAAAGGTTGGACTGTTTATCATACAATTCCAAGGCGATACATTTGTTGACACTGAATTTGTTTTTCTTCTGTTTGAATAAAATAAAAGTCACGGCTGCTTAATTTGTTGCATCTGTATAACCAATGCTATTGGTTAGTGGTAGCTAATGTTAGCTCTGAAGGACTCACCACCAGCCGTCGTCGGTGTCGATGTGACAGCAATGATACCCTCCTGTTTTTAAACTTGCCCAGCTTTGTGGCTGTGTAACGCAACCGATTATAACCTAAAAAGCAAGATCCTTGATCTGCGATTCGTCAGCAAACTTTATCTCGTGGATGCAGCTGTTCATTTAATATAAATTCACGTGCAGCATCATAACACTGCTTGTTCTTGTGTGCACTCAGCACTGTGCAGTTTTGACAGTGAAATATCGAGGTTGTCGTGACCGCCGACTGTTTTTTTTATTATTTCAGGTTCGATTAGCACCTCAAACTAGCAATAATCTGTGTATATCTAATGTATTTTTGTGAAGTAATGATGTTGTATTGCAAATAATGATAAACATTATAATAATTACTTTAGAGTTACCTGGTCATTCGTTTGAAAACGTTTCTCAATATGTTTCGATACTGCAGTCATGTGGGGGTTTACTAAGGCATTATTCGAACAAGTGTCTCATTATAATAATTTACACGGTGTTTTGTTATTGATGGAAGTATCCTGCTGTAGCAATAGTGAGCACCATGAACCATAAAACCAACCTCTTCATTTTGCAGCGGGGAGTTGTGGGTAATGAGGTTTGAGAGTCTCACGCATCACGTTTTTAGGATCCAGCATGGCAGCCAAACAGAAAAGGTTTGTGGACAAATGTTCTATAATATGTGTTGTATTATACGAGTTATAACGGCAAATATGTGTCGTTTTCACTAAATATAGTGTTTGTCAATCGAGTCGTTGTATTTGTGTGGGTCTTAAGACTCGTTTTTAGCTAACATTGTGTCCGAAACTATCCTAGCTTAACGCTAGCTAGTGTTATGAGAGCTTGGAAGCAGCTACCGCTAGCTTGACTCAAACGTAAGGCTCTACATGTTCGGTCCTTTCTCTTTGTTTAAATAACAACTTTATTTGTATTAAAGAAAGTTAAGCTGTCAGCTGAAAAGCAAACATTTGAATGGACGCTGTGTACTGTAGATAGAACATGTAACACATATGTCCCCCACATGTTGCTCTACTAACTTTGTTAAACTGGTGTCCTTCTTTGTAGGAAGTTGGAGGACCTCAGCATGGACGAGTTCCTGCTGACAGCTTTAGATTCTGCAGGAGAAGATGACTCTGAAGATGAGACAAAAAAACAGAATGGTCTCGATAAGAAGAAATCTGCAGCCTTTGAGACGTGAGTGCTTTGCGATGGCTTCATAAACTGTATCATTTTGATAGTGATAGTAACATGTGAAATATTATATTGAATAACGTGCACCTATTTTAGTTAATTTATCTTACTATGTATGTCTTACTTTCATGTGTAATGTATTAGGCACTTGTTTAACTGCTATATTGCTTTTTATAATTATGGAGTTATAATTTATTACCAATCTATGGCAAGGATTATTTTAACACTAAAGCAGGAAGGAGGCAATTCCCTGCCTTCCTTACTTTCTACCCCCTAGTCCCAGCAAAACCTTGATCTCAACATCACACGTTTGTTGTGCTTTTTTTCCTCTATAGAGATGATAAGAAAGGTAAGGCCAGTCAGCACAAGGAGCAGCTGTCCAGGTTAAAGAACAAAGATCCGGAGTTCTACAAGTTTCTGCAAGCAAACGACCAAACACTGCTAAACTTTGATGACACAGACAGCTCTGAGGATGAGGACGAGAAAAAATATCACAAATTGCCGTCCAAACTTGAGGTAGGCCAGCCGCTGGTGTGTCTTAGTTTATGCTGAGTTCTCTTGTGAAATTACTTCATACTGTGGGGTTTTGCCTTTAGGAGGACGACTCTGATGATGAAGACGACGACGACGACGAAGGGGGTGCAGAGGGCTCAAAGGCTTCAAAGAAATCCAAGAAGGGAGTGGAGATTATCAAAGTCACAGACAAAATGGTTGAAGAGTGGAAAGATGCTATGAAGAAGGAACCCACACCTCGACTCTTCAGAGAAGTCACCCAGGCCTTTAAGGCCGCCGTGGCTACTACAAAGGGCGAGGGAGGGGCGCAGTGTCGGTACAAAGTGGCCGACAGTTCAGGTAGGGTACCATGTTGGATATTTGTATTTAAACTGTTACTATCCTATGGAAAAGGTATAGCATCATCACTACGATGAAACATTGTTATTATAATAATATATTATAATATACGAAAAATATATGCCGAAAAAATTGTCGAGATTTGACAGAATTTTGATGTAACTTTAGAACACACCAGATACAATACATTTATGATGACAGCTTTCGCAGGAAGATATTAAAGGCAATATAATGGACACATTTCAGTTAAAACCAAAAAGTATTGTTTTTTTAAATTCATTTTTTGTTGCCATACACACACATTTTGTTAAGTTTAACCTTAAAAATTAATTGAAAGCTGTTTTTCAAAATGTTTGCTCTAAATATTATTAGTGCCGTGTTGCACTTTTACATTTTGACTGTGGTGGTGTCACACTTTCATACATTTCAAATGCAGTTAAAAGCCTGCATAATAATAACAACAACGTATAGGTACTATACTACTGTATTTGTTTGCTGTAACATTTACCTATTGTGTAAAACAAAAAAGAAACTCCTCCATGCATTGCATAAAATACTAGGGCTGTACCCGAATATTTGGGGTTTCAATTTCGTTATTCGGATATTCGTTTTTTTTCCTCGAATTTATTGAAATCTCCAATATCAACGTAAGAGCTTGTGCCTCTTCGGGGGGTGCTAACACTTAACCATAAACGTTATCGTTTAATTTCTCCGTCTTTATATGTAGATATTACTTTTTCTCCATTAATCTAGTCACGTTGTTTCCATAGCAACAACAACTTCCTGTCAACTGCGCTAACTCTCCTTCAAAATAAAAGCATGTCCATACAAAGCTGATTACTACCGAATATCCGGAGCAGCCCCATAAAATACATGTAACCACTATAACAACCAGATATGGTAAAAACCAAAAGCATTTGATTCTCCACTTCAGCACCATGAAGTTTCACATAATTTTTTATAAAACACTTTCAGTGAGTGTTACAACACACAATTTAAATATCTAATATATATATCAACATGAATATCTCTTTACCTGTACTGTCTACAGTGTTCAACTCCCTGGTCATCTTCTGTATCAGAGATGTTTACGTGGCCCTGCAGAGGATGCTCAACCTGAAGCCAGAAAAAGACCAGAAAAAGTATGAAGTGGATCAAAATTGCCTTCTGTTTAAAGTCTTTATGAAGCTGTGGAAAGACGTTTCACTCCTGACTTCTGTTTTGTTCTCAGGCTAGTGCTTCCATCATCTAGTCCAAAGTGGCAGAAGAATCAGGTTGACATCAAGATGTATCTCAGTGGAGTAGTTCAGGTTTGTTTTTCTGTCTCTTCAAGCGTCTCTCACATGTCTGTCTGTGCTTTTTCGATCTTTGAGTCCTGCCTCTTGTTAACAGGTGAGGTAGACGTGAAAACATACACTAGATAAAGTGCAGAGAAATGTGTATTTTCTTTGACACGGAACAGTACATTTATAACAGAGATGCACACGCCATGATAAGTCCTCCTTCTTGTCCTTCTGCATCCTGAAAACGCTCCTGTATTGATCTCCGTTTTCCTCTCTTTTGTTCCTTTCTCCACCTGTAGCTGTTATCCTGCCTGACGGAGGCCACAGTGATCAGCGCTGTCCTGCGGCACGCCAACCAGCTTGCACCTTATTACCTTTGTCTCCCTAAACAATGTCGTCATTTGGTTAAGGTAAGTCAGTAGTTATCATAAGATGTTGTGAAGTGTCTGCATTAAATGAATGCTGAATTCATTTAGTTTCTGATGTAATTTTGATCTTTTAATCCATCCCATGTTTTTGTGTGCAGCAACTGATGAAGCAGTGGAGCACAGGGGAGGAGACGAGTCGGGTTCTCGCCTTTCTGGCCCTCAACAAAATCTGCAGACATAAACAGGACACATATCTCAACCCTATTCTCAAGGTGAGCCTAATTCAGAGTGATACAGGGATAAAAGGGTGCACAGTTAACCTGGACGTCAAGGCAACAGTGACCTGCAGAGAGTATTTATATAAAAAAAATCAGGTGTGTCAAAAGATTTTATATTTGTATCTCTTACGTTTTTCTTTATTTTTTGCAGCAAATGTACATCTCCTATGTACAAAACTGTAAGTTCACCTCTCCCAATGTGCTGCCCATGATCAACTTCATGCAGCGAACTCTCACAGAGATGTACTCGCTGGACACACAGGCCACTTACCAGCACGCCTTCATCTACATCCGACAGCTGGCCATCCACCTCAGAAACGCCATGACCATGAAGAAAAAGGTACATTTGTGTCTGTGTGTGCACTGGGAGATTGTCTGCTTAGACATATTTTAAGAATAAGATCAATATTAAGACATACTTTATTATATGAATTCCGTTTTTTACTCTGGCGTTACTAACACACATAGGCCTTAAATAAACACATCCACAAACGGGATCTATTCTCATGCATTAGTGGAGAGGTGTCTGAGCAAAGAGGCTGCCAATGGTTCAGCCCCATGGAGCAGTTGAGGGTTTGTTGACTTGCTCAAGAACACCTGGGTAGTCTCAAGGAGGTGAACTGGCACCTTTCAAGCTACCAGTCCAGCCTTTGTATTTTATCCTATCAGGACTTGAACTGCCGACCCTTCTGTTACTGAGCCTGTTCATGCACACCACATCTCAACAGAGACACTCAGAGTTCAGTTCAAATGGAGATTTACTGTTTAGCTACTATAATACAAATATGATTGTCCCTGTGTTCTGTAGGAAACGTACCAGTCGGTGTATAACTGGCAGTACATCCACTGTCTGTCCCTCTGGTGTCGAGTCCTCAGCACCTTGCACCCCAGTGATGTACTCCAGCCTCTCATCTATCCACTCTGCCAAGTCATAATTGGCACCGTGAAGTGAGTATATCTATATGTATATGCACTTTTATATTTTAATATGGTTTTAAACGTTCATGTCCATGTTAGACAATGATCAATAGAAATGTGGAAAAAGCAGAGATTTTCTCAGGTTGTAATATTGCTCTGCGTGATTAATGCACTATAATCTTCAAAATGTAGCAGTTAGCCATTTGCTGCAGCCATGCAAACAACACATGGCTGCAGCTTGTATTCATAATTGATTTTTCTTTGAATCATTTTGTTATTTTGTCACATGTTTGGGTCCACACATTAAGTTACATTATTTTCA